TACGTGGACGCCGCGCTACAACTGAGTCTCATGAGTCTACTCACTAACTACATAGTAGTGTTGCTACAGTTTGCTATTCTGTAATACATGCTGTAAGATACGTGTGTGCAGCAGCGTGATACGTGTGTTTTAATATTTATATGGTTGTCAACTCATGGAAATATCTTCTAAAAGTATACTACCAATTACTTACAGATCAATAAAAACCATTCATAAAAAAAATATATACATTTTTATAGTTTATTTATTCAAGTGTCGAATACATTTCACAGAATCAAATTAAGAGTTAAAGTTGGTATTATTATGATTATTTTAAAGAAAACGAAATGATCATTAATTACTGATGATGTAAACATACGACAGGTATATCCGCAATTTAAGTAATGACAACATTTATTGGTTCTACGTATGTCTATTATGCACTTAATATAAGTACGACCGACTAACATTGCTCTTGTCTACTTCGAAAACGTAACATTCAAACATGTTTCCTCAAAAAAAGTATATAAAAAAAGATCGCGTCCAAAATAATTTTGTAGAAAGGGACGTGCAGTCCATGCTGCAACCTTTCAATATATTGCAGTATATAATGTTCAGTCCCCGATACTGTATCAGAAGAAACATTATTACTCCGAATAGCGTCATCATCAAACTCCTCGCAATGGTTGCCACGCTTGCACTCATAGCTTCAGTCATACATCGGAACATTGTACTACCTTTGTATGAAGAACTAGATGGTTCTAAACTTCAAGTAATCGTCGTTTATTACGACTGTCTGTTCTCCAGTTGCAGATTAATTGTTATTTTCCTAATCACTGTGGTTCAAACTAAGAATAACATTAAGTTCGTCTTGTGTTTTCAAAAAATTCACAACTTTCTAAACGATGTTATTAGGTTCAAACGTTTTATTGTTTGGAATTGGATTATTGTGATTGCCATCTTATGTTGTATGGTATTTTATTTGACTGCGTTTTACGTATATTTGGAACTTTCCTTCATTTTTGCATACAGTTGGTACTTCTTCATATTTTTCGATGTCAACATTTTATACTTCATTCGAGTTTTGAAACTCTTAGAGGATAAAGTTGTTTTATGGAACATTCACGCTTTGCAATCTCTGGAGGGAAAAGGACGCGAACATCTTAACGACAAGATATTATTCAAATCCTACGTCAATATACTAGAGACTTATAACATTAATAATACAACGTTTCAAATATTTGTAAGTAACACATTTATTACTTTTGCTCCTCTCGAATTTGTCCTATAGGTACTGTACCTATTTCGTCAGTGGGCTGTTTCCATCTGATGTCCTTGTTTCTAGAAACAAATTTATCTATAATGATTTAATTTCATTATCCTACTAAAATTATAATTATGAGAAAGTTTGTATGTTCGTTTGTTTACACCTTCACGTCATAACGCCTGAAGCAATCGGGATAAAAGTTGGAACAGGGGCAGCAGATAATGGTCTAAAATAACATATAGGTTTTTATACCAGGGGGCGCAGGCGACGCCGGTGGCAGAAGCTAGTACTTTTAAAATAAATGAAATACATAAGCTGATTACCGCCTGTCATGTTAAATGAAACCGGTCAGTTCAAAGATAAGGTTTTTGTCTTTTTTTTAACGTTGCCCCAAACTAGTTCTCCTGTGACGTGGGTGCGTTTACAAACAAACAAGTTCACATACACATGACACCTTGACGTGAAACAAAAATTTGAGGATCACACAAAGAGTTGCCCAGCCAGCACACCAACCGTGCAGTCTGTTCGAAACTAAGCACAAATTATTTACTTTCCAGTACCTCTACTTCATCTTGGAACTATTTACACACGCCCTGGTATACTTTCAGGCTGCAATTGAAATTATGCAAAGAAATGTGATAATTAATTTCGTAAGTGGATTATAATTAGTGTTCATAAATTACCTACCATTCAAGGTTTTTCCATTTTTCCGATCACTGGTTACGAAAAAGAAAATATTTAAAGTAATTACATTTACTCGAGTGAAATAATGAGGAACAATTCTACTAGTTTCTTTCAATCTTATATCTTATGCTCTTATATGTACTATTATATAAAGAGGAAGAATTTGCTTTTTCGTTTGTTTGTTTGTTTGTTTGAACGCGCTAATCTCCGTAACTACAAGTCTGATTTGCAAAATTATTATTGTGTTGGATAGCGCATTTATCGAGGATGGTTATAAGCTATAAAACATCACGCTACGACCAATAGGAGCTGAGGAGAGCGTGTGAAACCGTGTGGAAGTAGCTAGTTTTTCTATAATTTACAATCAATATCTTCAACAGGATAAAGCTACAGTTATATCAGCATCAGTACTATTGTGGCTGTGCAAAGATTTGATATGGCAAACAATGTTGACTCGACAGTGTGAGAAATTATACCTCGCTTTTCAAACTGTTGAAGACAGTTGCACACATATTTTGAAGTCTAATTATTCAGGTAAGATTTTGAAAAATAACATTATTGAAATTCTTACCTATGTTCTTTTCTATACATTATGTTTGTATTTTTTTACTTCTGTCACATTCTACAGATGAAGTCAGAAAACTATACAAGAACGTGCTGCGCCTGCACCGCGCGTCATTCAGCAAGATACGTGTGTGCAGCATGTTCTACGTGGACGCCGCGCTACAACTGAGTCTCATGAGTCTACTCACTAACTACATAGTAGTGTTGCTACAGTTTGCTATTCTGTAATACATGCAGCAAGATACGTGTGTGCAGCGTGTTCTACGTGGACGCCGCGCTACAACTGAGTCTCATGAGTCTACTCACTAACTACATAGTAGTGTTGCTACAGTTTGCTATTCTGTAATACATGCAGCAAGATACGTGTGTGCAGCGTGTTCTACGTGGACGCCGCGCTACAACTGAGTCTCATGAGTCTACTCACTAACTACATAGTAGTGTTGCTACAGTTTGCTATTCTGTAATACATGCAGCAAGATACGTGTGTGCAGCGTGTTCTACGTGGACGCCGCGCTACAACTGAGTCTCATGAGTCTACTCACTAACTACATAGTAGTGTTGCTACAGTTTGCTATTCTGTAATACATGCAGCAAGATACGTGTGTGCAGCGTGTTCTACGTGGACGCCGCGCTACAACTGAGTCTCATGAGTCTACTCACTAACTACATAGTAGTGTTGCTACAGTTTGCTATTCTGTAATACATGCATCATTTACGTTATTTAAATACAAAAAAATTGTTATTTATTGTACTTAATTGCTCTGTTTGCTTTGTTTGCCAAATAAATTCTATGGATAAACTTCATTTTTGTGTGTGATTGACATAACAATATACAATCTAAAAAATAATAAGCATCCTAAATTCTAAATAAATACAATACCGATCTATTATATTATTAAGACGTCTATCATTCGCATTCAAAAGTAACTATAAAGGTCAATCCCATGAAAATAAAAAAAATAACAATGAATATAATATATTAGACTTCAGCGCCAAAGAAATAATATCTAAATGGGTGCCAGTTCCAATGGTAGATATTAAAATTAAAAAAAATTACAATAGTTAAAAACTGTTTCGTTGGCCGAGTGGTCGCAAGTGCGACTGTCGTGCAAGTGATCTCGGGCTCGATTCCCAGGTTGGACAAAGTATTACGGGGTTTTTAAGAAATTTTCAGTAGCAGCACGGAGCCTTGAAATGTGCCTGGTTTATGGCAATAAGCTCACCCCTATTACATGGGACTCAACACATAAATAGTGAAAAGTGGGTGTTACATTGTACAGTGGCATTAAGTGCCGTAATTTTCACCTCTGCCTACCCCTTTGAGGATAAAAGGTGTGATGTTATGTATGTAATATTTAAAAACGACCTTTTTGTTTATAACTTGACTGGGCATGGTGCGCGCTATTCTGTTTGGTTTCGATGGACGTGCAATCAGCGCGTCCATCCAAACCAAACAGAATAGCGATATTATCCATTAGGTAATTATTACTTTGCTAATTTGTTGTCTACTAAGTACTTGTTAGCGTGACGAAGTTAACACATGCATTTAGTATGGGTGCGATCAATTAATTTCATACGTGTTCAATACCTAGCAACCATATAAAAAAGTAATCATGCATTTAGAAAAAAATGTTTTAATGAAGTTTGCCTCGTAATTAATTTAGTGGAAAGAGATATGCCCTCCATGTCCATCTTTCATTGTAATGAAAAAATTGACATTCAGACATGCCATTGAAATCTCATAACATTGTTATGTTACACGCCTTTTATCCCCGAAGGGGTAGGCAGAAGTGCACATTATGCCACTTTAAAATGTAACATCCACTTTTCACTAATTATGTTACGAGTCCCATGTAATAAGGGGTGAGCCTATTGCCAAATACCGGGCACAATTCCAGACTCCGTACTACTACTGAGATTTTTTTAAAACCCAGTAATACTTTGCCCGACCTGAGAATCGAACCCGAGACCCCTTGCCCGGCAGTCGCACTTGCGACCACTCGGCCAACGAGGCAGTCATATAATCTCATTAATATAATACACAAATATTAATACATTAATTATTGAATATTATATCATGGGAAACGTTTGAATTGTATGTACGTAAAAATATAATATTTAATCGAAAGTAATCGAAGTCCATTCGATACAGTATAATCGTAAATTGTAATTTATTTAACAAACGAAACGCTGGGTGTCAGTACCTAATGATTATAATTCAATCGATATTATGTCATCCCGAATAAAACGTAAATGTAATTCGAGTAAAAGCATTGGTATATTTATAGATGACACGGAAGAAAAAACATCACATGAAATAAACAATGATGAATACGAAACTGCAAATAAGTATATTGTCGAACCTTACTTAGTATCAATACTGAGACCATTAAATATTATACAGAATGTGTTTTTCTGCGCTAAGTATAGAATCAGGGGTCACGTCATCAAGCCCATCAGTCGGTTATACAGAGCCATGTCTGTCATCTTTTATTTTTTTCTCAGTATGTATCTCTACTGCATGTTTTTTGAAACGAAAAGAAATGGTGGCGAGGAAACCTTCGAGCATTTGGTCTTGGACATCTATGACTATACTTTGGTCTCTATTGGGGGCTTTATAAACCTCTTCACTAACATCAAGCAGAAGTATAACAACGTGCTGTACGTCCTGAAGATCCAAAATGTGCACAGGATCCTCAAGTTGAACGAGCGTTGTTTCAAGCGCTCCATTATTGCTAACTGGATCTGTGTACTCGCCATCAACTGCTTCCATATCTCCTGGACGTTAATTTACTTTTTTACCTTCAATGATGTTAGTATTCTTAACATTTTGTCAGCGTACACTAACGTTCGTTTTGACGTTAACGTGATTTACGCAACGAGGTGCTTGAGACTAATGACTGAAGCCCTAAAAGTTTGGACGTCAGATCTACAGAAGTCTGCATATATCTATGATTCACAGGATAACAATTACTGGGATACTATGTTACGTTGTTACGTAGACATCACTGAAGTGTACCAAATAGTTGAAAAAACTTTTCACCCTATGGTAAGTAAGGTTAAGGACACACGGCGCGATCCTCTCCCAAAGCCTTTGTAGAATACATATACATATGTATGTAAGAAATCAAAGCACATTTCACGGCGCGTTCAACGCCCGCAGCGGTTGCGATTGTCACCGGCGGGCACGGCGCAGTCCCGCAGCTGCGGTGGGTTACACCCGCGCTCTCTGCGATCGGTTGGCGGACGATTGCAATAGGACGGCCGGTCTGGACCTTAATTGACTATTTAACCCGTCTTGCGATCGACCACTAAGTTTGCGGGCGATAATCGCAACTGCGATGGCTGCGGTCTCGTGCAGAAGACTACGGTCGTCGAGCGCGTTGACGTTTCAAAAGTACCAAATTATGGTTTAATTGAAATAAATGCTTTTGAGTTTGAGTTTATAGTCTTAAAAATTCATTGGAGGAATTTTATTTCAGGTACTTTTCTATTTAGTTTATACGTCTTCATACTCATTAATGGATATATGGCTACGTGTTCAAATGAGGCCAACTGTACCTATAAAAGAGCTTCAGGTATTCTCATAATTCCTTATTCAATAAAATCTATAACTTAAGTATTGAATAACTAATATTATTTTCAGTTTCACTACAGCCTGTTAACGTTTTCGTGTCTCACATGGGTAATGAAGAACCTTGTTATAATCACATTTCTATGCGTGGAGTGTGAGAAGTACTACTCGGCAATGAAAGATGTTAAGAGAACTTGTTCTCAGATGACTACTTCAGAAAGGAGCTCAGGTTAGAAGGAAATGCTGATATTAAAGGATAATAATATATAGCACATATCATGCGCAGTTATTATAATAGCATAACTATCGTGAGACATACTAAATTAACTAAAATTGCGGGTTACTCACGTGAATATACTGGGAAAAGCTCTACTACGACCGCGCACGCTGCTCATGAGAAAGAGCCCCTTCTGGGGTTCAAAACTAGTAGAGCTTTTGATTTTAGTTAATTTATTATAATATCGTTGCTTCTCTCAACGCTGAAGTATTTGTTTCATTCAATTAATACATAAACAAGTAGGTACCTACTTGAACGTCGAAATTGAATTAACCGTCATACTGTACATCAGTGAAGCTAAGAAATGTAGATTCGTATGTACCATGGACTTATTGTTTCCTAGTATCAAATGCCACTTCTCTAACATAATTTCCACCCATCCATCATTTCTTTGAATTTCATCTTTCCTTCACCTACTAATATTGCAAGTGATATATTTTATACTATTTTATTATTATCTCTACAGCAAATCAGAAGAGATTTTGTAAGAACATCCTGCGAGTTCAAGACGCGACGTTCAACAAATTGCGAGTGTGCGGTCTGTTCGCAGTGGACGCGTCGCTGCCGCTGCGTGTGGTTGCATTCATCACTACCTACACCATCATCCAATTACAATTCGTGTTCCTATAAATATTTTCAGGGTTATTTCTTATCTTTTATCTAGTTAGATAGACATTACATTTACAAATGAATTAGTATGGTAAATAAATTATTATTATAATTTAAATTTTCAATAACAGAAGTGTTTGATAATGATGTATCAAACTTCAATCCACTCCATATCTATTCCTATTTCCTTGGTCAGTCGTATTAAAATTTTGTTCCATAAACGAAATGCAAGTAACAAAATGGATGTATCAATGGGTCATGCGGAACATGAGCCTGCAAATAAATTAAATAATGATGAAAACAAAGTCCTATATGAACATATTGTGGAACCTTACTTAGTATCAATACTGCGACCATTAAATATTATACAAAATGTGTTTTTCTGCGCTAAGTATAGAATCAGGGGTCACGTCATCAAGCCCATCAGTCGGTCATACAGCGCCATGTCTGTCATCTTTTATTTTTTACTCATGATATACCTCTACTGCATGTTTTTTGCAACGAAAACAAATGGTGGCGAGGTAAATTTCGAGCATTTTATTATGGACGTCTACGACTATGTGTTATTCTCTATCGGAGGATTTGTAAACTTCTTCATCAACATCAAGCAGAAGTATAACAACGTGCTGTACGTCTTAAAGATCCAGAACGTGCACAGGATCCTCAAGTTGAACGAGCGTTGTTTCAAGCGCTCCATTATTGCTAACTGGATCTGTGTACTCGCCATCAACTGTTTCCATATCTCCTGGACGTTAATTTACTTTTTTACCTTCAATGATGTTAGTATTCTTAGCACATTGTCAGCGTACACTAACGTTCGTTTTGACGTTAATGTAATTTACGCAACGAGGTGCTTGAGACTAATGTCGGAATCTCTCATAATTTGGACGAAAGATTTGCAAATGTCTTCATACATTAATGATTCACAGAATAAAATCTACTGGAACACTTTGTTCAGATGTTACGTAGATATCACCAAAATTTCCCAAATAATTGAGATGACTTTCCAACATATGGTAGGCATTTTCTACAATAATAATTTACCTCTCAGATAATGAATTAGTTTGATCTTGTAATTTTATTTCAGATATTTTTTTATTTGGTACACACATGTTCAAACTCGTTGCTAGACATCTGGGTCCGTGTTGAAATGAGGCCAACAGTACCTGGCAAAGACCTTCAGGTAACTTCGTTGCTTGCAATGATCATAATACCTACATACATAACATCACTGCTTTTCACTATTTATGTTATGAGTCCCATGTAGGGGGTGAGCCTATTGCCATATACCGGGCACAATTCCAGACTCCGTGCTACTACTGAGAATTTTTAAAAACCCAGTTTTACTTTGCCCGACACGGGAATCGAACCCGAGACCCCTTGGCCGGCAGTCGCACTTGTGACCACTCGGCCAACGAGGCAGTCAGGCAGAAATTGATGCATGCAATGATCAATTATGCATTTATTATATATATTTTTTTGTTTTTTTACTTTTCACTTTCAGTACACTCTGCTGACTTTCTTATCTCTAACATGGGTGATAAAAAATCTCCTGATAATCACATTTTTGTGCGTGGAGTGTGAAAAGTACTACTCGGCAATCAAAGAAGTTGAGAGAACTTGCTCACAGATGACCACATCAGCAAAGGCCTCAGGTTAGACGAAAATTGAGACATGTGTTAATGTTAATATTGTTGATGAAAAATATGGTTTACAAAACGACGTAGGATTTGTGTATTTAAATTTATGGAAATAAACTTAAACAGTTTTTACATATATTATTTATGTATGTAATAATAACCAGAACTACTAAGAGTCAAAGAATTAATTAATGTTTACAGTATAATACAGTAAAAATCACTGCTATTTACTTCTTTTTTATTAATTCAGTTATTCTTGCATATGTCGTAGGATAATTTGATACTTCGAATCTTCGCGGAAATCCTAGGGGTTTTGCGAAAACGCGGATAATTAGACATAGGCGAAAAATTATCAAATCTTACTGGACAAAGTCAGGATTTTTCCGAAAATACTCGTTACTATAGTAAGATTTGATGTGCTCAACACTGATTGGCTACAATTATGCTGGCTGACTTCTAATTGGTTCCTAGTTTGCCGATGATTAACTTCAAGTATTGTATCATAGAGTTATGAAGGTTTAGGATAGGTGAAAAAGGAAAATCACTAAATTGATTTTTATTAACTTTTTATTGAAAATTTTAGTATTGAAAATTTATGTATGTTGTTTTCTACAGACAATAGGAGATCTCAGTCATAGTAAAAAAAATGATTCAATTTTAGGGTGTAATCCATAAATTGGATGAAACTGGTCGTTTAAGACGACGAAAAAACATTTAAGACGTCAACCAATCAGAGACGATCTCTTATTGAACGCGCTGACCGACCAATCAGCGTTCTTATTTCATAACAGCCAGCGTTTCGTTTCGCAATTTTACTATAGTAATGAGTATTTTCGGAAAAATCCTGACTTTGTCCAGTAAGATTTGATAATTTTTCGCTTATGTCTAATTATCCGCGTTTTCGCAAAACCCCTAGGATTTCCGCGAAGATTCGAAATATCAAATTATCCTACGACACATACACTATTCGGCATTTAATATTTGATTCGCCGCTTCATAAAGCCATTGTCACAATAAAATTATATCCATGTTATTTAACATTGTTTTCAATCTCAACAAAGCTTTCTAGTAACACAATCTCATCCCTTTCGAATATCGTGTTTACAAGTACAACTTTAAGTATTGTATTGTTTTACTATGTCCATAGAAAACCAAAAATCATTCTGCAAGAACATCCTGCGAGTTCAACACGCGACGTTCAACAAACTGCGAGTGTGCGGTCTGTTCGCAGTGGACGCGTCGCTGCCGCTGCGTGTGATCGCATTCATCACTACCTACACCATCGTCTTGTTACAGTTCGTGTTTCTATAACATTTGTGCAGTGACTAAAAAGGTCATATCACATTATTTTATATTTTGTTGTTGTTATTTTTATAAATGTAATAAATTCACAACGCGTCCAATGACGGCTCGTGAGTAGTAGGCTTTTTTTTAAGGGAGGACAATCATCGAATGACTGCTTTCGCCTGGGTGAGGCGGGACTCCAGACTTTTACTGACTAAAAACCACCCCGTTCCTTCTCCTACGCTTTGAGCCGGAGCGCCGGTAACCCGTTAGGTTCTCCGCGACTCCGAATCGGCATCAGCCCTGTTAGGCCCCATCCGTGGTGGTCTGATGGTTCTTTGAGGCGCGCGCGGAACGCGACGCGCCGTATGCTTGGGAGAGTAGTAAGCCATAACAATAAAAAGTGCATATCGTTCTGTTAATTTCCGAAAACAATATTGGAATCTCATTTCTTTTAATCACTTTATATCCACCAGAAATTATTTTTTACTGTAGACCAAGATATTTGTCGCCATGGAAATCTAACTAATTCATCGAATCATAAAAATAATCAAGTTATTTTAGTACATACTTTGAAGGAAAGGGTGCGATAAGAAGCCAATCTACGAATGATTTTATAATTCTCTTCCACTTACTTCAATCACTTTAACCAGTCACTTTGTCATGTCGTCCTGTACAAGACATGGACATATTGGACATGATTCAAGTAAAAGTATAGACAAAATGGTAGACAATATGGAAACAGAGCAGTCGCATGAAATAAATAATGATGAAGTCAATGCTTTACACGAGCACATTGTGGAACCTTACTTGGAGTCGATACTGAGACCATTAAACATTATACAAAATGTATTTTTCTGCGCTAAATACAGAATCAGGGGTAATGTCATCAAGCCCATCAGTCATTTGTACAGCGTCGTATCTGTTATCTTTTATTTACTTTTTACCGTATCGTTCTTCATAATACAAAGTATAAATGTAAACACTTTTGAGGATTTTGTTGGAAGCACCTTTCATGTTGTGTTATTCTCCATCGGAGGCTTTATAAACCTCTTCACCAATATTAAACAGAAGTATAACAACGTGCTGTACGTCTTGAAAATCCAGAACGTGCACAGGATCCTCAAGTTGAACGAGCGTTGTTTCAAGCGCTCCATTATTGCTAACTGGATCTGTGTACTCGCCATCAATTGCTTCCACATTTACTGGACGTTAATCTTCTATTTTGAAAACAATGGTGTTAACATTTTTAATATCCTGCCATCACACACGAATGTTCGTTTTGACGTTAACATAATTTACGCAACGAGGTGCTTGAGACTTATGACTGAATCCCTCGAAGTTTGGTCGTCAGATCTGTAGAAGTCTGCATATTATATCGATGATTCACAGGATAACAAATATTGGAACATTATGTTTGGATGTTACGTAGATATCAGTCAAAACTTTCAAATAATTGAGACGACTTTTCAACCTACGGTAACCTAGTTTTAGAATTAATTGCCTGTAAGATATTTATTGAACTATTAGTCTTTTTAGTCTAGATACTTAAATTTCAGATTCTTTATTATTTAGTTCATACGTGTTCAAACGCATTATTGGAAATATGGGTTCGTGTAGTGAGGAGGCCAACAGCCTTTAACAATAAAATCCAGGTGATTTCAGACAAAGATAATTTTCTTTTGAATATGCTCTTATTATCTTTGGTAATAGATCAGAATTAACTTTTAATTCCAGTATACTCTGTGGTCATTCTCATCTCTAATTTGGGTGGTAAAGAATCTCCTCATAATAGCATTTATGTGCGTGGAGTGTGAAAAGTATTACTCAGCAATCAAAGAAGTTGAGAGAACTTGTTCACAAATGTCTACATCAGAAAAAAGTACAGGTAAAGAAAAAATTAATGACGATGATGATGAAGACTACTTTAGTTATTGTTTAAACTGTCAAACACCAAGCGGTCACCGGTGACCGCAACCTATTGTTCTTTAATTGTGTCTATAAAACCGGTACTCGACGAGTTAATTCGTCTCTAGGCCCAGTTGACAGATGGGTACAGTTTACAGTAGGGTTGATGCGCGATTCGGAGCCGCGGAAGGCCTAACGAGTTGCCGTGGTTCCGGTTCGAAATGCAGAAGTAGGAACGGGGTGGTTTTTAGTTAGTAAGAGTCATTGGAAGATTTTTCACTCTGATAAAAGGTTAGTCATAATATTTCTAAAGAAAGTAAGGGAGTTCCTTACTTTTTTTACCTTTCGCCATTCCCCTTTCCAATCATCCATCAACATTGTTAATAATATAGTAGTTGTTCATAATTTTGCCATAATTTTTCCAACTCCGAATAACTTAGGTATAAAAGCAGAAATTGCAAGAAGAACAATTTTGTACTATGTCAACAGAAAAGCAAAAATCATTCAGCAAGAACATCCTGCGAGTTCAAGACGCGACGTTCAACAAACTGCGAGTGTGCGGTCTGTTCGCAGTGGACGCGTCGCTGCCGCTGCGTGTGATCGCATTCATCACTACCTACACCATCGTCTTGTTACAGTTCGTGTTTCTATAAAAATACCTCATAACTAAGAAGTTACTATATTCGTATTGGATTTAATTTTATTACTACGTCAGTTTAAAAGTTAGATGTAAATGGATCTTTGAATGGAAACGAAAATGAAGATCAAAGGATAGAAAGACTGTTGTATAAGATGTAGCATAGAACAGAAGAGACTTACGTCCAGTTTTATAACCTATCTAACTGTAGATTTGCTTACTAGAGATAGAATTTTGACATGAGCTCCATACAAAATGTGTCAAATCTTCCAAGTTACTGTGAACACGAATTTGTTATAAAGGTGTTCCGTCACCGGGAGTATTCGCGTGTAGTGTAAAGTTACAGATCTGAGCGTTACAGCAGTAAAGGAGGAGAACAGAGCATTACAATACACATCTTGTAATGATTCAATTTGTAATATCTTGATACAACTTGTAACATCAATTCGGTCCATTTCCTCCAGCCTCCCGCCTGCTTGCTTCGTCTGATATCTTGCTATGAAATGCTCAAAGTCAAATTATGATGTTACATTACACGCAAATGCTCGATAGTCAGAGAGGTATTATTGTAATGTCTCAAACTCGAATCTATAATTTTACATTACACGTGAATACTCCCAGTGCAAGAGCACCTTTACCCAAATAGACCAGCAGCTGTAGCCAAATGCCATTTAGCGCTTGTCTACACGTAGAATAGAAACCCAAATTATATGGAATTGACGTAAATTTTGGCACTTGTCAGTGTCATCCCCATACATTTTGATTTCTACTCTCTCTGTAGACAAGCGGTAAAGTGGCGTTTGGCTAAATGCCCAGGGTAGAAATAAAAACAAGTTTAAAAATAATAAAAAGTGAAAAATAATAGTAGGATAAAACTTATTACAAAAGAAGGGGAATATTATAAAAATGAAAGAAAAATAATTTACGGACGATCAGAGGTCGGGAAGGGGATGGGGGTGAGTTTTTAAGGGTAAAAAACGGTTTTTCTCGATTCCGGCAAAACTAAAAGTCCTATCGAAGAAAGTCAAATGGCAAAGTGTAGGGTATAAAAAAAGATCTAAAACATATTTACACTTTTTCACATAACCTCAAAATTTATGTGAAAAAACAAAAAAAAACTAGTTTTTGGTTTTTTATTTTTATCTTTTACAAACATTTTCTTTTTTTAACGAAATTTGGTGAAAACTTAACTCAATAACTCTTAACCTTAAAAACTTACCCCCATCCCCTTCCCGACCTCAGATCACCCTTAAATTATTTTTCCTTTCATTCTTATAATAATCCCCTCCTTTTAGAATGGGTTTCATCCTACTATAATTTTTTTGGTTTTAAAAATTATTAACCCTGGTCTAAAATTTCTTGTCAAAAACAAATTATCTTTAGTAATAGTCGAAGATATATTGATAGCTTATCGAAAAATAATATCTCAGAAACCATTTAAATGTCATTTCAAATATAAACAACATAATGGTCGTTTGACAGTCTAATCGATATTAGACATAGAGTATATTTTGTAAAAATAGCACGATAAGGAAACGTTCTCCAATGCGTGGACTGTTTAGCTTGATATACATGCTTTAATTACTTTGAGCAATCACATTATCATGTCGTCGTCTACAAGGCAAGAACGCACTTCAAATAAGAATATCGGTATATTAATAGATGATTCAGAACCAAAGCCGTCACAAGAAAAGCTCTATGATGCTCGACACGAACATATCTTAGAACCTTACTTGGAGTCTATACTAAGACCACTAAATATTGTACAAAATGTGTTTTTCTGCGCAAAATACAAAATCAGAGGACATGTCATCAAGCCCATCAGTCGGTTGTACAGCGCTATGTCTGTTATTTTCTATTTGATGTTCACTGTATATCTCTTCTGCATGCACTTTGTAACAGAAAATAAATGGGGTGTGGAAATTTTGGAATATTTCGTTGGAAACGTGTATCATTTTACATTGTTGTCCATCGGGGGCTTTATATACTTCTTCACTAACATCAAGCAGAAGTATAACAACGTGCTGTACGTCTTGAAGATCCAGAACGTGCACAGGGTCCTCAAGATGAACGAACGTTGTTTCAAGCGCTCCATTATTGCTAACTGGGTTTGTGTGATTACTATTAGCTGTTTTCACATCTATGGGGTATCAACGTACGCAATAGCCCATAAGGATATTAATTTTTTCAATTCAATGGCGTCTTACTGGAACGTTCGCTTTGATATAAATGTGATTTACGCAATAAGATGCTTGAAACTAATGACAGAATCTCTCAAAGTATGGACGTCCACTCTGCAGAAGTTTACATTTAGCAATGATTCATCCAATAACATCTTTTCGAAACCTATGTTTGGATGTTATGTAGATATCACTGAAATTTTCCTACTAGTTGAGAAGACCTTTCATCCTATGGTAAGTAAGAAATAAGATAAGTTTGTCACTAAAACGCAAAGAAAAAATTATGAATCTGTAATTTAAATTTCAGGTATTTTTTTATTTAATACATACTTGTTCGAACGCATTAGTGGAAATCTGGCATCGTGTAGTAAGAAGACCGATAGCATCTAGCAATGAATTCCAGGTATTTGAAGGCCTTATTTCATTCGAATACCATATCATACGATCAGGCGTGCAAACCTATGATAATATTGTCATAGACATCAGAATGAACACTACAGTTGAATTGGTCGCCGTCGACCAGTTCGTTTCGCAAACAAATTAGAACCATGTGGAACACCGTCTATAAAACTTAATACATTTTGTTGGCAATGCGACTAATGAGTCCACACCCATAGAACATTTCTAGTGCACTTTTTCCATTATTTTAATGATATAGTTTTCTTTCAATTCCAGTATACTTTATTGTCTTTTATATCTCTAACGTGGGTGATAAAGAATCTCCTAATAATAACATTTCTGTGCGTGGAGTGTGAGAAGTACTACTCGGCAATCAAAGAAGTTGAGAGCATGTGTACACAGATGACTTCTTCAGAAAGGAGTTCAGGTATAGAAAAAACAATATAATTATAATCACAGAACTATATTTTTAGACATTGAGCGAAAAACGAGCAGACGTATTTCACGGTGGTTAGCAATTGGCCAATGACACCCGCAACACCAGACGTTACTACGTTGTCAGTCTTTCAGACGTGCAGAAGCTTGGCTCAAATGTAATTACTTAAACAAAGGATAATATTATATTGCTGTCTTGTTTTTATTCTGATTATTTATTGATACTGTTATTTGGTTTCCTTTGCCTTAATGTTAATTTTCATCTCATGGTCAACTGTCTTTCGTTTGCTATAATTTCTTATGCAAACCCATTCGTCCTTTTCCCTTCTATGCATCAACATCTACTTTTCCTAATCCTATTTTAAGAGGTGTCTTGTTTCTTCCTCCCTTTTAATAATTATATCATTTGTGATCAACATCAACGTCATTAGTATTTCATGGTGTATCATTTTATTATGTTTACAGTAAATCAAAAAAGGTTCTATAAGAACATCCTGCGGGTTCAAGACGCCACCTTCAAAGAGCTTCGTGTGTGCGGTCTGTTCGCAGTAGACGCGTCGCTGCCGCTGCGTGTTATCGAATTCATCACTACCTACACCATTGTCTTATTACAGTTCGTGTTTCTATAAATCATCATTATCATCATCATCATTAATATCATGACCTTCCAGCTCATCCACTGTTAAATAAAGGACTCCATTCTTGTTTCTTACGATATCGTCTTTATGGCAAACAGAAACCTGTCACCGCTTGGGAATACAGAATACAGCATATAACTGGGATACAGAATAATTATATTTAATTTAAATTGATATTCGGTTACTTTTATCTGTTGCTTCCTTGTGTCAGCCATGTAGCACTTAAGTAGTCCCATGTAGCATTTAAGTCACCTTTTGTAAACTATACTAATCTTATTTCTTAGTCCTATTGATTGAAATATTACAAGACAATACGTTATGTAAACAATGCTTCACAAATTGTCACGTAGTGACTAATGTAATTGAAAATGTAAAAACGTATTCAAGGGCAATAAATAAAATCAATATCTATTTTATTTTCTATCGGAGGGCTTATTAACATACGTGTTAACATCAATCAGAAGTATAACAATGTGCTGTACGAAGTGCACAGGATCCTCAAGTTGAACGAGTGTTGTTTCAAGCGCTCCATTATTGCTAACTGGGTCTGTGTACTCGCCATCATATAAGAAAATAAGAATGTTTTATAGTTTAATTCCCTAATATATTGTTGCTAAACACTAATGAATTTTATTGTATCCACTTCTGAATAAATTCATCAATGGAACTGTCCCACTGCTGCATTTTGTAGATACCAGGTTAATATGTATCAGCTGTATTAGAACCTAATGGTTTGGCACATTATGACGGCAAAAGACCAGGTATGGCAGCGCTACCTTGGAAAATGGGTAGGCCTTTGGTGTGGGACGCGACGTGTGTAGACGTCGTCTAAGTACCGCTGCATGCGCTGGCTGGTACGGCCGCTTCCGCTGCAGACGCCCTCAAACGGCGTAAATATTTAGATGTAGTAGGTAACTACCGTTTTGAGGCGTTTGGGGTCGAAATACTTGGGTTATGGTATGGATACGAATGATATAGAAATTATTTTCAGAGCTTCAGGCTTTCGGGTACAACAACAATAAATTATTTGCGACTGGCCTACTCAAGCCTTATCTCGGTGAGATAGCCAATTATCTAGTAAAGAAACAACAATAAGCCCGTGACTACGTCGGTATGACTAATATTGTAATGTTATAACATGTTTTTGATTCTTGGGAAGATAAAATAATATGCATAACAAAAATCTAGATGTCAATTTGGTCATAAAACTCCCTAAAATAAATAAAGGAGATAAATAAACATTTACTTTTTACCTTTTATTACCAACACTAGCAACCATATTTACCTAATATAATTTCTGTCCAAATTCTGTCAATAGATTTTCCCAAAATTTGATTTCTTCGTCGTCTGGGGCCTGTCCAGCTTTCAGTTCATTGCCGATATCCAGATAATCCTGGTTTTCTAAGGAGTATGGAGACCATGCTACGCCAAAAGAGTCGTCAGGAGTGGGATTGCTGAAACAAATATTAAACAATATTTTACTTAATAAAATAAGATAATAAAAAATAGCTGAGTAACTGTAAAGTGAGAGTCAGTGTCAGTAGCACATTTGCGATACTTCTTTGTAACAATATATTAAATCATAAGCAAGTCAATTGATAAATAAACATTTCAACATGGATAATAGGAAACTACTATTGCTATCCTGCATAATGCCTGCTCTATTACTAAAGCGCTCCTATAATAAAATTTTGTTATGTCTGAAGGCCATAAAAACAGCAGTAAAAAATGACACTCACCCATATTTAGCAAAATTAGTCCAAAGCTTTGTCACTACCTCAATCTGTTTGAATTCTTCAGAATTCATGTCCAGTTTTGTCTGATTTCTGGCACTAAACAAATACATTAAATCATCTGAATGAGCGACAACTGGTTTATTTCCAACAAGATGACCTACTCCCATCAACTCAGATACAATATTTAGTTCTGTGTAACAAGTGAATTTGTACAAATATATCTTGTTCTTCTTGGAACGCGCACTCAGCTTAATCCACCTCATGGTTGGAAATACGAATATGTCCATTGAGTAAAAGTCTTTTAGACTCTCCCAGTGGTCTGGTACTCGAATCTGTTCTTTGAAATAGTATTCCTTTAACCTATTACCAAGCTCTAATTGGTCATTAGTCGATAATAAGAGCGACATGGGGTATGACACGAAAAATTGTGGAAAGTTTTTGGCTTGTTCTAAACTTTCTTTGTAATCGCCAAAGATAGCTACGCCCATTATACCTTCATCCGCGGTGTATCCTGTCATTATGTCAACTCCTTCGTGAATACCATTCGACACTGCATCGACCATATCTCCGTAAAAGAATCGCTCGTTGTCTCCAAACTGTTTTTCTTCAACCACACTAAAGTATACTTCGACATTTGTTCGTTCTTTTTCAGAATAAGTTATAGGGACTTTGGCTTTTATTAAATTCTCTATAGGTTGTTGTTTTAGGAATTCGTAAACTTCTTTAACATCATCTGAATAGAACCCTAACTTTCTTGCCAACGCAAAACCTCTTTCACGAGGTTTATACGCTTGTGCCCAGTACGAGACACTGACACCACTCTGAGCTATTGCTCTCTGGAATAGTCCCTTGGACATCGGTGACATCAAGTGATATGTGACACTGACCCCACCAGCGCTCTCACCGAATATAGTTACATTGTCTGGGTCACCTCCGAAGTTGGCGATATTTTCCTTCACCCACCTAAGGGCTGCTACCTGATCCTTCATACCAGCGTTTCCAGGCGCATCTTCAGTGTCTAGACATAGGAACCCAAGTACTTCAAGACGATAATTTAATGTAACAAGGATAACATCTTGTCTTACTAGGAACTTGGGACCGTATTCTTGGTCATCGCCGGCCCCAGATACTAGGCCTCCTCCATGAATCCAAACCATTACTGGAAGAGGTTTCACAGGTGTGACGTCAGGTGTGTACACATTTAAGTACAAACAATCTTCACTTCCTGTCACATGCCCTTTATCCACGAACAAATCGTATTGGAAGCATTTCGGTCCAAATTCTTTGGCGCTGCGGACCCCATCCCAGGGCTTTGGTGGTTGGGGAGCCTGAAAAAATCGAGATAATAACTATGAAGCTTTATGAGATTCTACAAGAAATAGATCAACTGCAAATAATACAAAACAAAGAATAGATAAAAGATTAAGAAATATATAGACTTAGTCACCTTAAACCTCAGATCTCCGAGCGGAGGCTGTGCGTACGGGATTCCCAAAAAGCTAAAGTAAGTGCCGCCGTACTCGTTGTGTACTACCTCTCCTTCTAACAAACCATCAGACACTCTCACTTGTACCATCGCTAACGCTTCACTCAATACCACACACAACAAGGCTATCCTTAATACTGTCGACATCATTACTCCAAGTACAATATCAGTTTTATAAAATAAAAGCAAATGTTAATAGATGAGAGTGTGAGTGTACGCTGAATTCTAAAGACAGAGACGCGACAATAAATAGTAGATGTAATACCCGAAATGTTTTGATAAAATCTGATCGTTATCATGTTGTTTTTATTACAGCAGAGATATATATCTCACGTAAATATCGATACCATGATAAAGCCGACAGATAGGCACAACAGATGAGCAACCACTTGAAGTAGGTATGAAAGAATTATAAACATAGATCATTTTAAGAGATAATCCTGACTAATTTTAGTGTGGGAAATTTAGTATCGATGTAATCTGTCTGATTGTTGTCATATTTATCAATTTAATAATTACTAATAATGAAGACCTTGATTGTCTCGACAGTAACAACTGTTAGGTAGTAATAAATGGGATTTTCCGACGTGTCAACAAATGCGCAGTGCAAAAAGTAACGCGGAGTGATAGGCAAAGTATCAGGGCTTTCCACCAAACCAAGAATTATGAAAATTAAAAACTTAAGTATTCATACTCTTGATATTATTTTTTTATGGGGCAAGCCGGCAAACGAGCATACGGATCACCTGATGGTAGGCAATCGGTCTTACCCATGGACACTCGGAACACTAGAGGCATTACAAGTGTAAAGGAGAATTGTTGTGGGCTCAGGGATTGACGTGATTAGGGAAGGGGTGGGGGGAAATTGGGCCTCCAGTATCCTCACTCACACGACGAAACACAACGTAATGGTTGTTTCACGTCAGTTTTCTGTGAGGTTGAGGTATCACTCCGGTCGAGCCGGCCCATTCGTGCCGAAACATGGCTCTCCCATACTTAGATCATTAATCAAGTATCTACTCGATAAGTACGAGCCATTTGACAGCTACAAAACTGCGATTACATCGATCGTATAGATACAATTAATAAAATAGTTGACCATGACCGCTATAGTGTGAACATTCATTTAATTCATTAATAAACGCTACCGACTACTAACGATGTTCTACTACACGTTGGGTCTGCTAGTAACTTCAATATTCCGTACCGATTTTTTTTGTCTTCTATCGACATTTAACTAACGTTTTGAGGTTCTTAATAATGAATGTTGTAATTTTTCTTTTATCTTATTCAAAATAGTTAAGGTTTTCAAAACCCTACTAGGACCAAAGAAGTCTGAATTTTTTTATCAGTCCTAGAAACAACAAATAGCCTTTAACTTAACGTTAAACTCGACCACCATCATCATCAGCATTAACATCATATCAACCACAAAAAGTCCGATACTGAATAATTCTCCACCAGTGACTTTCAGGTGGGCCAGTTTTTTTTGAGGGGAGATTAATCATCCAATGACTTCTCTTGGGTGAGGCAAGAGGGGATGTCAGACAATAACTAATTAAAAATTACCCCGTTCCCCGCCAATGGCAACCCGTTAAGTCCTCCGCCGCTTCGCACCCAGGCATCAGCCCTTTAAGGCCCCGTTTATGGCTAAGGCGCGACGCACCATAAGGGCGGTCAGTAGGAAACACCATGCTAAATAGTATTAGTCTAAACGGAAAAATATTACTATCCACTCCATCGTTATCCACTCCATTTTTCCACGTAATTCAATAAAGTAACAATCTTTAATAATGTTTGAAAGCAAAGGTTACTGTTTGTTTGCCCCTTTTTCGAAGCTGGAAATGAATTTCATTACATTAGCTTTTTTCGCTAAACAAAATATTGTACCGATATGAACGTGCTAGTAAAAGCTGGGAAAAGTAGAAAAGTAATGCTGTAGAGCTGACTGTCATTGCCAACCAATCAAACCCACTTTCCAATGATACAAAATGCTTAATTGTTAAAAGCACTATTGAAGATGCAAATATAGCTAAGCTCAGAAAAACATAATATAATTAAATACAGTAATTTTTATACGGAAATCATCCAAATCCAGGGACTATATATACAATGTTCAGTGGATATAAAATAATGAATCTTTGTGTACTTTTCTACTCTGATACTAATACATAAACGATTTCAATGACACTAGGAAATATAACTACACAAATGAATGCACAGGTAAAAGCTGATGATACCGCTGTTGTATTTTCTGGAGATAACTGGCCTGAAGTTCAGCTTAAAGCTGAGAAGGGCATGACTAAGATCGCTAACTGGCTAAATAATAATTTATTAACTTTGAACGCAACTAAAACTAACTATATCTGTTTCTCTGCTTCAAAGCGTTCACAACCAAATGAAGACTTCAGTATTAAAGTGCATTCATGTAAGCAGAAAACCGCTAATAATGATTGTACATGTCCTCTAATTGGTAAAGTATCTCAGACAAAATATTTAGGTGTCATAATTGATCAACAGTTGTCTTGGTATTTCCATATCGAACACGTAACTCATAGAATAAGGAAATTATGTTGGATATTCAAAACATTGAGACACGTCGTTCCAACCATTACAAATAAAAAAACCGGCCAATACAGAAATCTCTTAAACGAAATTTACATCGCCCTTGCACAATCCATCATAACATACTGTATACCGATATGGGGCGGTGCAGCAAAAACCAAATTTATAGAGGTGGAACGAGGACAACGAGCACTCATTAAAATTATGTATTTTAAAAGTAGGAGGCACCCTACTGAAAGTATTTATCAGATAAGTGGTTTACTCTCTGTTAGGAAATTGTACATCACACAACTGATTTTAAAAAAACACAAAACTGTTTTTTATGACAGTAAAATATTATCAAAGAGACGTAAAGATATGATTGCACAAGTTCCACAAACTAAAACTAAACTTGCTGCTATACAATACAATAAACGCTCTGCACAAATATATAATAAGGTAAACAAAGAAATATACATATACACTAAACAACTACACGAATGTAAGAAATTGCTAATCGAATGGATAAAAAATCTCATACGAAAGTACGGAAGCCCTGCTGCAACACGTAAAATAACCATCCCTCACACACCCTCGCAGATACACCACGACACACACGCCACACACACAGATACGCGCACCTCACACACACATACACCCCACACTCACATACACCCCTTACACATAAATCTATTTATATAAGTCAATAAACTGGTAATTGTAAAAACCAAAAACTTTTGAAATATTGTTATGTTATGGAAGAGCGGAGTCTCCTAATACAGGCATTATTTACCTAAAAGGAGGCTCCAATCACAATCTATTGTTAAAAAAATATTTGGTTCAGAAATAAAAAATTTTTGTATTTTGTATAAGCTAGTCATAATAAAAATGAATAATCAAATTAACTTTTTGATTTGATTAACATACTAATGACGCTTGATAATAATAATATTCAGTTCACTTTTATTGATACAATGGTTCAAGAGATACATAACTTTCAAAAATTCGTTTGTTAATTTCGATATCATGCAAATATCTACGGAAGTTTCGCAAAGCAATCGTCTGGAGGAAGAAGTCCAGAAACTGTTTTACCCTTTCAACTTACTAATGACTCTGTTCTGTTCTAGGAAATTCCACGTCCAAGATAATTACATAGTCCCAAATGGAAAAACATTCAACATAATATCGATTGTGTTTTTTGCTGTAATGAGTGTTGTTAATGGTTATAGAGTCATTAGAGATCTTAGTGAATTGATTTCACAACACAATGAATTTGGATTTACTGTGTTTATTGCTTCATTATTTACTTTAAGTTATGCATCTGGTTACACTACTACCTATGTTTCCAACATCGTGTACAACAGAGAGAACATTACTTTAGCATTATTGTTCCAAACTGTCCACAACAGCTTTGATACCGGCATAAGTGTCAAGAAGTTAATCATCTGGAATTGGATTTGTATTTCTATGTCTCTAGGATATAGTTTTTCTCACTTCTTTGTAGTTCAATCAGTGTATCGACAGCCTAAGGATGTTTTAATTTTTTTCACGTGCGTGTTGTATGCATGTCTTGATATCAACTACATTGTTATTTTAATTTTGAATTGTATATATATATATTTTTTTTTACTGTTTTCTACTATTATTATTATTAAATGTAATATTTTATTAGTAACGGGCAAGTGCTGAAAATCAGCGCCGTGACTCGAGCACACTCGTGTCACGGCATTTAAGCTGAGCTCTTGCCTTTTTGCGCCGTCTTTTTTCTTTGTATTGTTTCTTATTTTATTTCCTTGTATCAGTGTGCAAATAAAAAAATTTTCTTTCTTCTTCTTTCTAACTATGTATATACGTTACGAGTTCTAGTGATGTTGATCCATTATCTACGAGAATGGAATAAAATTATTATAAGCAGTAGCCAACAGCGGTTTTACAAAACCAATTGTTCTAAATTGTTTAGAACATATCAGAATATTATGAAGAGTTTTACTTTGTACAAGAAAGTTTCACAGTGTTTCGTAAGTTGCTTTGATGTGTTATCAGCCTGTTTCCATCTTCTGCTGGAAATAAAGCTTAGTAGCAACACGCCGCTGGGGCCTTTTTTATATATATTTGATGGGTCGACATTTGTCCACTACCTCGCTTGGTGGTAAGTGGTATGATGTAGCCTACGATGGAGCACATCGACCCAAAAGCAACCTATTCACTCAGGCCATAAAGATACCCAGGTTCTACCCTTCAAGAAACACAAACTCTGGCAAAGAAAACCATTACTTAGCAATTCGCACAATGAAGCTTGAAGTGAAGCGCTTCCTGTGAGTGAGTAGAACATCCACCATGACGCGGCGAGCCGATTGCCTGGCGGTACAATCATGGACAGGACTAAGGGGAATCAAGTTGTGCAATTTACTGAACTCTTTATATCTTCTTAAACTCTTTATATTCTATCACTGTCAGCCGCATTGTAAATATCATCACCAACTGTAGACATCGTCCTACTCTTAGTTTGCCTATGCATAGCCTAGCCCATGTTTTTTATAGTTCCATATACAGATCCAGCAAATTTATATTTCAGGTACTACATAGTACAGTCAATTTATTTTTCT